CTTGAAGTTATCTGTCACTCCTACATCACATCTCACCACTGTCCTGCTGTCCTCATACATGTCCTGTACCAGTCTAACACACTTCTCTGCCACTCTAGATTTCCTCATGCAATACCACACCTCCTCCCTCTGCACCCTGTCATATGCTTTTTATAAAACCACAAAAACACAATGAAGTTCTTTCTGACCCTCTCTGTACATCTTTATTAGGATCCTCAAAGCGCAGATGGCATCAGTGGTGCTCTTTCTTTTCATGAAACCATACTGCTGCTCACAGATAGTCATCTCTCATCTAAGTTTAGCTTCCACAACTCTCTCAAATCTTCATCCTGTGGCTCATCAACTTCATTCTGTTCTTAAAAATGGGCACCAGCACACTTATTCTCCTTTTTCAGACATTTTCTCACTTTCAAAAATGCCCATGAATAATTGAGGCAAAAAACTCACTGACATTCCTGTTCCTCCATTGGTATGTCATCAGGTCCAAATGCCCTCCCCTTCTTCACCCTCACTAATATTTCCCACTTCTTGGTCCACAGTCTCTATGACCTCTTCTCTTTTTTCCCCATTCATTCTCTTCATTCATTCTAGAAACTGATGGGTTGCTTGCTGTTGCTCCTTTAATCTATATTGAAAAGTTTCATAATAACCTGTTTTTATTTCATGTGAACTGAGGGCAATGTGAGAGTTTTTTTGTTTCAGCAGAACTCAATAGTTTTTTGTTGTTGGACCATTCTATCATAATGACCGTACTTAACTAATATGTATGTGAACTAATGTATGTCAACAAGGTATAGTAGTTCAGCTCAGCCTTAAGTAGTGGTGCCAGTCAGTCACAGCCATGGGCTGCAGCCACAACTAGTCTCATGGAAGGAAACTTGTAACACAAAGTTGACAAAGAAAAAACTGGAACAAGTTGGAATCCTAGCATCAACAATGGAGTCATTTTAGCCCACAATTCTAAGTATATCTATCTTTGTCCTCATGGTCACCAATAAACTGTAAACATGATGAAAAATGAAATGAATCAGAGAAAATGCACTGTCAGAGATGACACTAATTACAATTGTTTTGAGATAATGTTAAGTTAATCTCAGGATGTTCTTCCTTTGTATTTTTGATGTTTGCTTGACATCAGTGTTATTGCCAATAGTGTGGCATGGATCAATTTGTTTTCCAAAAAACAAACAAAATAATGGTTTAACATATTTTGGCATAGTATAGTTAGATTTTTTTTCCTTTTCTGTCCTCTGCTAAAGGCAAAAAGTCCTATTTAGATGTCTTGATGCAAAAAGAACGCAAATCGCTCACAACTTATACCCTTGATGGACATTCTCATTATTTTATCATTAACACTACCTGCTTTGTGGATTTAATGCTGAAATAGAGCAGATAGTGCTGACAAATGATGAAACGCAGACGTAAGACCTAAAGAAAGCTGATAAATTATTGTGCCCCTTAAGCTTTACACTTTAATAATTCATGCTTCCAGATTTAAAGGTGATAATGAGCAGCTATTTTAAGCAGCTCCTCTGAACAGCTCCAGTGCTCTCACTGAGTAACAGCTCTGCTGCTGTGGAAACCTCTCTCTCTCTCTCTCTCTCTCTCTCTCTCTCTCTCTCTCTCTCTCAAGCCAAGAAGCAGCACTTGGCAGCAATCTTAAGAAATTGATCAGATCCAATGACTCAGTGTGTGTAAATGATGGTTTAGGACTTCAGCCTGCACCCAGAGTGGAATGTAGTAGCACAACAAAGAACAGAGTGTGTCCAGTAACTGGTGTGGTAGTTGGTGTGATATATGTTCCTAAACTTTCTCTTTGCCCCACGAGGGCTTTTAGCCCCTTGCTCAGCATGCAGGGTTGTCCCAGTCTATTTACAGAGGTGACATGCAGGCCAGTGTAAAAGTACTCTGAGCCTCTGTAAGAAGACACTGCAGCTCTGAGAGGCAACGGGTTGCTGTGGTAGAAATACAGTTTGACTGCAGGGCCTTGGTGTATCAGCTGTGGGCTAATGGTGACGAGTGTTTAAGATTTATTTACCCAATATGTTTGTTAGAGACATGCAAATATCTGCTACAATATTGTTGCCTGCTGTGCAGCAACACTGGAGTAATCTTAAAGTGGCTGACTCAGAGGAACTAGAGCAATAACTTCTGAAGAGGAAAGCCTAACTGACTCGTTGCAAGCTTATTTCCATTTTGGCCTGAGTTATATTAGGTTGTGAAGTTTCAGATACCATATCTGTAGAGAAGTTCAAAATACTGATCACATGCCATAATTATTAAATGTTTCATCTGGAATGTATTCCAAGTTTAGCACATGTGTCAAAACAATTTAAAAGTATTTTGAACCCAAAAATGATCATTGGTTCATTAAAACTTGACTTTGACAATTACACTTTTTGAAAACCAGTCACATCCTTGATGTAGCAACGACACTGTGTGGAGCAAGACTATTCCAAACATACTCCTACCTAAAATTCACACAGTCCTTAGTTAGAGCTAGCCACTTGCTCTCACAACAAAAAAAGAAACTGTCCAGATGACCTGACTGAACAATGATGGATCTTGTACCTGCATTATTGAGCATGAACCTTGATGGAGTCCTTAGTTACATTTGACACTCTAAGTCTACACCAGAATGTTTTTGTTGATGCCAAGACTTCATCCATCCATCATCTTTACCCACTTTTCCTTTTCGGGTCGCGGGGTTCATGGTGCCCACGTCCAGCTATCACTATACAAGAGGCGGATGACACCCATGACAGGTCTCCAGTCCATCAGAGGGACACATAGAGACAAACGAGACAAACAATCATTCACTCTCTCACTCACACCTAGAGACAATTTAAAGTTACCAATCAGTCTAACATGCATGTTTTTGGTCTGTGGGAGGAAACTGGAGTACCTGGAGAAATCCCACACATGCATGAAGAGAACATGCAAACTCCACCTAGAAAGGTCCTGGGCCAGAATTTGAACCGGCAACCTTCTTGCTGAGAGCCAACAGCTCTACCAACTGAGCCGCCCATGTCTTGGCCTTGGCACCCGCTTCGGATGTTATCATCCATTAAATGGCCGTTATTAGTTGTTATCATCCTCATATATGGGTGTATATATGGGTGTACATATATGGGGGAGTGGTGGCGCAGAGGTTAGAGAGGTGGGCCTGTGATCCGAAGATCGCCGGTTCA